GTTGCTGTCCTACAGGCAGGGTTTGATTTGTCTTTAAACATTAGCTTCTGTATTAATTCATCAGATATAAACTACAAATATGAAAGTAAGAACATTTTACATAAAGGGATTTTTGGTTTGCTTCTAGAGAAAAACATAGTGAAAACAACATTTATTTGCTGGCTTTAAAACAAACAATTGTGTTTTATCTTCACCCATCTCACTGTACTGATAGGCAGGTCTTAACACTGGTTTAAATTTTTTTTTTTTTTATCCATAACATACAGAATTTGAAATAGTTTAAAGCATGCAATGCAATACATACATACACACATACACACACACACACACACATCATGCATATTTTAATTATTAGGGAAATGGTAAATGGAATATGTAAGGTCTTCACTTTGAATGATGTTCTGTGTTGGTGTATTATTGATTATTTTTTCTTTTGCACACACTGGCATAACTTTTCACTGCTTTGGAAGTTATTCAGTGTTTTTAAGCACACAAAACTGAAGAACACATAAGTTTTGAACTCAACAAAATGAGACGGTAGTGAAGAGTTTACACATACATGCAGTTCTATACAGTTCACTTGTGCCTTGGAGGGATAGTATTATTATCATTATTATTAATAATAAAAAACACAATTTGTCCCAGTAGTACTGGCCACCCTGTTTTAAGAGTTTTAGAAGATCCCTGAGCACATTGTTTCTGACTCTTAACCCCAACTCCAAAATGAAAGGGCTTCTATCCTTGATATCAAGATGGATTGTCATTCACAGTAAGTCAATCATAAGGTGCTTATTTACCCTTTTGTTTTTCACCAATCAGCACAAAGAACTGTCAGAAAATAACTTTATTATTATTATTATATTATTATTATCTTAAAATAATAGCGCTGGAAGGACACATGATTTAAACAATCAATGTTTGAAACAGTGGCTTTAGGATTATTATCTGGCTGCCCCTCAACAATAACAAGTGATTCGATCGACATTCCTTAGCCAAAAACAAAAGAAAAACAAAACAAAACAAAAACCAAAAAACTGTACAAATATGTATTTTTCCCTGAGGGATCAAGGTACACCCGCAAGTGCTCTATGTACATATTGCACTAGAGAGGGATGAAGAACATGTGCAAAAAAGCAACAACGAAAGAAGCTCACAGACCTTCCCACTAAGGGTTCTGCTAAGTTGTTTTGCATTTTGGAATGTCGGAACACAAACAGCTAGCTATTCCTTAGTTCTAAAACTAAAAACACATTATTTCTACTATGGCACATTCAATGAAATAAAAAGTTTTCCAAAGACAGATAGACAAATTCCATCAAGAAAATAATACAAAGTTTGTTTGTTTGTATTTTTTTTTTTAGAAAATTACATTACTTTCTTTCTTTGTTTCACATTACAAAATCTTTTTTTTTCTTTACACAAATCACATTTTATTGCAGGAATATTTCAAGTGCCATCAAATATTTATAGAAGGGTTAAAAAAATAGAAGTCTCTCTAAAGTGGTCCAGACAAGGCTTTGTATAGAATAAATCTTTTTTTTTTCCATCCTCTAGTTTTGATTTAAGTATTTTGAATACATTTTCTTTTTCCATTGACACTTAGTAGCCTAGAAGCTGTCCGACACAAGCACATCATATGTACTCCAATCACACACGCACACACGCACACAGGTGCGTGGGTACACACACACACATACACTCATACACACACACACACACTCCTTCCTCCCCTGACCCTCAGCCCACCCCCATACGCTCACAGAGATCTGGGTATCCACACTATAAAGAACAACCAAACTTAGAAGCAGTGTCTTAGGTCATGTTTTCTTTACGTTAGGAAGGGTGAATTAGGATGCTGAAGACTTAAAAAAAAAAAAAAAGAAACCCAAACTTTAACAGAAATTAGGATGTTGAACACTTACAAAACATCCATATCTTTAACACAATTTGCAAACTGTCCAAAAAGCACTTTCATCTGCACTTTTGATCTCATTGTGACCAAGACCAGTGTTTTTCACAATATAATATGATCATCTGGACACCATTATAACAAAAAGTATTCTGGCTTTGTACAAAAGCCTCATTTATCTTATGTCAAAAGATTAGATAATGGCATTATAGCAGCCAAGTTGATGACAATGTGGTTCTAATCTTTAAAAGGCTATTGGACATTTAAGTTTAAGAAACTTTATTTATATAAATTATTAAGAATAATTATTCAGGTATCACCCAGTATTTTGTGTCACCATGCAGGTGTTTTTATGATAAAGAAGAAAATTAAAATGCAAAGGTTTTCACATCATTTTCTGGGACTCTATTTCTTTCAACTGCCTTTATTGTTTAACTTCAGATCCCAACTTAGATCCAAATTTTAGTCAGTTGTTCCCTCAATTTCTCTGGGCACGTCTCTGTCTCTAGTATTCTTTTCCTACATGGTCTGTGAACTTTGCTCTGACAGCCCACCTCCTGCTTTTCTTTCAGAAACACCTAGAAGCAGCATCTTCTTTCTCTGTCTTGGTTTACTATAAAAGCAATGTCACCATGGCATAACTATTACTAAGATTAGAGCATCATTTTCTTTCTTTCTTCTTCTTTCTTTTTTTTTTTTCTTTTTTGGCATTAGGTGCATGCAAAATCCTTTCTGGGAAAAGGAATTTCTTTGAAGTTCATCATTACTTTCTCTCTCACCCTTAGAGAAGTTCAATTAGCTCTTCTTATTCACAAATGGACACTGGAATTAGGTTTAGTTGCTCTTTAATGCGCTAGCACCTGAGGCTGGTCATATTCAGAAAGCTTTGGTTAAAAAGAAGTTAATATACTTTACTAAAACCATCCCCAAATTTAGTGACTATGAATAAAAAAAAAATCTCCGCACCCCACAAACCACACCACCATTTTCTCCCCGAAGGAGAAGTAATAGAAAAGATAATGGACAAATAAATAACTGAACTAAGCTTGGTACTCTTTTCAGAGTATAAATACTATTAATCTTTAAAGGAACTATGTTTACTTAAATAAATGTTTGATTTAACCCTTCTTGCCCAAATATAAATACTATATGCCAACAATTAACCTCTTTATATAAACACTCACATAAAATTTTATATGCCTGTAAGAAATTTAAGTAAATATTACTCTCATCTTCTATTTATGGTTAAACCCTTACTATATTTTTGAAAAAAAAAAAGGATGTTATTTAGGCTTCATACACACTTCTGCATAAATAACTGCTTCCCCTTTTCCAAGTGCCTCAGGAAACAAGCCAGAAAGTTGGAGTTAAAAACAGTGAAGTGCTCTGGGAAGCCAGCCCTGGTAATCCAGCTCAATATCAGGGGCTGCAAATTCTTGCAGAAAACTCTGGAGGGATCCTATGGCAGAGGAGGCTCTTGGGTGTAGAGGGCTTCTTGGACTCCCATCTTTACACCCTGGAAGATATTCCTTTTTCCTTACCAACATGGTCTTTGAACCCCATCCCTAATGTGACCAAAATCATCTTCTAAATGCCCACATTACTAAAAGGTCACTTGTTTTTAAAATATGCACACTTGTGCATCAAACTATTCCTTCCTCTCCCCCCCACTGGGGCTTACTGAAAAAGAAAGAAATAAAGAAAAACAAGAAATCTACAAAATTTAACAAAAATAACTCAATATTTCTCACCTGAAAACTAAAACCAAACAATCTTCTAAATATTCAATAAAATAAATTACAGTCCACAGTTTTCTAGTGAAGATAAATACAAGAGTAAATGTTTGCAGCTAGCCTCAACTTGACTTTAAAGGCTTAAAATATTTACTATTTAAATAAGAGGAACATGGTAGGCTTCCCTCACCCTCCTATGTATTCCCTACCAAATATGGAGAGCAATATTCTAGAATAGTGGCATCTGGGGACAACTAGTCTAGAATCAACTCACTCTGAGATGAACTCTTAGGATTCCTGGATTATACCAAGAACATAAACATTCAAAGAAGGTTTCCTGTCCTCACATGGGGAATGTGTATCTGCTCCAGATATAATCTTTGGGTCCTTCTTCACATAAAAACGTAGATTACAACACAATATTCTAGTTGCTGACTTTGTTCTATAACAGTTAGAATTCCAAGTTGAGTCCGAGTCCATAGTTTTGACTAAACTGTGTAAAATGAGCCTCCCCTCCCCCTGCCACCCAAAGGTGGCATTTTGAAAAGCTTTCTTTGTTCTAAAAAATTTGATGATTTAAGTCCACAGCACCAATCAATCATTCAACTTTGTATGAAGCATAAACACATCTATCCTTGAGCTTACCAAAGAGCAAAGTATAAATTAGGGAGGGTTCTGTTTCTAATGCCAAAATCACATGTGGGGGGGAAAAACACCAACATGTTGATTTCTAGATATGACCAGCCACTCTTTTAAAAGTAATTTTGTAAACAGCAGCATAAATACCTCCCGACGTACCTTCCAAGCCTTCTCAGTTAAACTTGTGTTTCTGGTGCACATGCGACACGACAGTGAACACGCTAGCATTTAATTTAAAGAAAAAGGTGCAAAATGAAAGTGCCTTATCAATTCAACAGGAAAAGCTACACCAGTAACTACATTTTATATTAATTAAAACAATATATAAACAATATCTCTTTTAGCTATATATAGTCTTCATGCCCATTTACCCTGTAATATATTATAATGCTATTGTTGCTAGTGCTATGGACCCTTTTCATGCCATCCTGCTGACTGGCAATAATCGGTGAGAAAATAAAAACTTCCTTCATCAAACAAAGAGCAAGTTGTGCAAAGTAATGCCGCAACCTCCGCTATGCACACCAGTCACCGATTATTGCTGGACTCTCTGCTGTAACTGACAGATTGGCGACTCTGTTGAAAGTCTGTGGGCAGTGAGCTACAAGAAAAGGACATCCTCCGACTTTAGTACCCTCCTTCTGCTGTAAACAGAGGTCAACGCTCAAGAAGTCGAGACAAAAAAAGGGTCCATATCTGTAGGCATAATGGAAATCATATGCATGAGAAAAACAAGTTCAACTTTTATTTGTTTTCATTGTCTCCCCTCCTTTGCCTGACCCCGATCACCAAAAGATGTGCAGTGTGTTGGCGCTCCAGGGCTGTGCAGGGCCATAGAAAGTGTCTTGGTTAATTTTTTTTGTTTTGTTTTGTTTTCTTTTTCATGTTTGTACTTCAGACATTCTAGAAGTGCTTAGGTGATACATTTACCCATCAATTTGCATTGCTGGCTCAAATTCTGAAGTGAACAACTCCTTGTATAATGGAGGAAAATGAAGTCGCACAATGTCTGGGTATATTGCTTTAAATGCCATTAGCTTTTCCGTATGTCGTCCACATAAGGCTCTTAATGTAGACACCTTGCATATTAACTGTAAGTAGAGAAAGGAGATGACGTCAGGAGAGGACAGGCATGAGAATGGAGAATGAGGAATCTGGACCATCTTTACAACACTGTGTATGATGGAAATACATACTTGAAGCAACTTAAACATCCAGTAATAGAGAATTGGTTAAAAATAAATGATGATATAGTCATAACCTAGTAGGCTAGTAATACACTGAATGCCTTTTTGAAAATGAATCATTTAACCTGAGACAGTATTCATAAGCAGAAGATGGCTCTACTTATCAATGGCAGAATCCAGATAGAACCCCAGGTTCTTGCCTCCTCCCTACTCAGGATCAGGGAGGATACTTTCTGCTCTACTGTCCCAAACTCTGCCTTCTACCACTGCAGAAAAAGAAGAGGTCCAGTGATGGAGAAGTGGAGGAACAGTCAATCCTGGGTAGTCAGGGCACTGCAGCTAGAGATGAGGGCATTCCTTACATATTGTATGAAGAACTAGCACTAGTCATTTTCAGGGGCAAGTTTCTTCTGAATAAATATCTTTCCTTACAACAGAGCTATTCTGGGTCTAAGCAAAAGAAGAGTCAGAATAGTGAGAAGTGCCCTGATTGACCATTTACCAGTTGAGTGTAATAACATGATCTGCACAACTACTCTTAAACTCTAAGGCTCTATTCAAAGGCAAAAGCTTGTGATTTCAGCCCAGAATAATTCTTTCTAGGACGAATATCAGCATATGTTTTCTGTGTTAGGTGCCCTTGCATCTGGGTAAGAAGACGGAACAGAGAGTGAGAAGCTCCTGACAGCTCCTCACCCTTCCATTCCCCAGTCCTGTTCCAGTCACTCATTCAACAGGTACAAAGATAAAAAACAAAACAGCAATTCACTCCCAACTTCCCCTTTCACCTAATTTGGCTATCAGGAGAAAAGAAACTGAGTAAAAGAGAAAAATAAAACAAAATTGTTCAAATCGTCCTTTCCAGTAATAAAACACATATTCTAAGAATGAATAGAGCAGCTTCTTCTAAGATCAAAAACATACAACTAGCACTAACACTGAAGGCTATTAGCATTTAAAATTGGTATCCTTACTATATTTTTATTGTGAAAGATAATTACTAAAAGTGAAACCTGGGCTGGGGACATGGCTCAGTGGTAGAGTACTTGCCTGGGGTACCTGAGGTGATTTCTAGCACGAAAGGAAGGAAGGAAGGAAGGAAGGAAGGAAGGAAGGAAGGAAGGAAGGAAGGAAGGAACCGTAATGCTTTGAATACAAGATAGTGATAGGAAATTGATAAAGAAAATAATATAAAAGCCATTTACTTTTGATTATATTAGAATATATGATTATCCTGACTCTTTTAGTCCTTTATAACTTCTTCCTTCTTCTAAATTCAAAGATTATTTTTCTAATTTATATCAATGCAGAATGTTAACTCTGCTTTATGCCCAACTTTGATGGAATAGGAGAAGGATTTCCTAAATGATTTGATTCTTAAAAAATCTATTTTCTGAGCTGGGGATGTGGCTCAAGTGGTAGCGCGCTCGCCTGGCATGCACGGGGTGCTGGGTTCGATCCTCAGCACCACATAAAAATAAAATAAAGATGTTGTGTCCACTGAAAACTAAAACATAAATATTAAAAAAAAATTTTCTCTCTCTCTTTAAAAATTTTTTTTAAAAAAATCTATTTTCCTATAATTGCCCTATTATTATAGAACACTGTGTTTTCAATATAATAAATAGATTCAACCTGGGTAATGACTTTTGGCTCAACAGAATTTTCTTTTCTTTTCTTTTTCTTTTTTGGTACCAGGGATTGAACCCAGGGGCACTTAACCACTGAGCAACATCACCAGCCCTTTTTAAATTTATTATTTAGAGACAGGGTCTCACTAAGTTGCTTAGGGCCTCACTTAGTTGCTGAGGCTGTTTTAAACTCATGATCCTTCTTGCCTCAGCCTCCAGAGCTGCTGGGATTATAAGTATGTACCACTGCACCAGGCTCAACAGAATTTTTCATGGAGATTATTTTTCTTTTAGTAGTTTGTGGCATGCTGATGCTTTTTGGGGTTGTTCATATGACTTATAAGAGCAGCTGGCAGCATGATTTGTGCCAAAGGATAATTTAGGCCATGCCAAGTAGAACCCTTTGGCTCTCACCTTTGTTAGTATTCCATCTTCTCGGTGATTCTTCTGTAGAACGTGTTGAAGAGCTAGCTGAATTTTCTGTTGCAGTTTTTCAATTTTTACCTTTTCCTGTAGCCATGAGCGATCTAAACATAAGAAAATGGTACTTTTTAGTTTCATTTCTCCAATGAGTGCTTTCCTCCTGACTCCAGATAGAGATGATGATGCTATGATGCATATTTAGAGACGCAGAGGCCAGTTTTAGGTCCTCTTCCAAACTCACTCCTAAAGGAGTGGAAAAGTGATCTGTGGCAGTTATAAAACAGAATGTTAAACTTTTCCAATTTTACTGATATTTAAAGGAAGGAAGGATCTTCACCTTCCAAAGTATAGCCGTTTGAATTTAAGGTCATACTCATGTGACTGCAAATAAAACCACCATGGTCCCTTTGTAATAATTGTACTTCTGGATGAAATATCCATATCAATATTGCTAGACTTTTTGTAAAATATGAAAATTGTCTTATAATCCAGGGCAACTAAAAGTGTCAACAGAATTCCAAATGAATTATATTTAGGATAAAGTCTATTGGTGTAGGAATTCCAAATAGAAAGTAGTAAATATGCAAAAGTGATTGTCCCCAAGAGGCCAGTACTGGTTGAAAACATAGATTAAAATCAGATAAACTCACGGAGGACAAACAAATGGATTTAATAAAAGGTAGAGTGTCTTAAAATAGACATGTCATTTTGGAGCTGGTGTTAAAGAATACCCTGTCCTACCACACGCAGCACTTCTGGAGGTTAATTTTGGCCTGTGTTTTATTCAATTCTCTTTTTAAAAATTATAAGATCTTTTTCAAAAAGTACATGGAGCTGCTCTTGGGACCCTCTCAAATATCAATAGCCAATGAAAGTTATGCACATTGTAAAAATTCTTTATCTAGACCATTTAAAAACCATTTGATTTTTATTTGGCTATCTTACCTGCCGACATCAGTACAAACGCAGAAAATAATGCAATTTCATCTTCAGTCAGGTGCATAGAACATAAACTCTTTCCAAATTCAAACACAAAGCTAATAAAGTCTTCACAGCCTGCAAGAATAAAATAAAGACAGTTTAGGATTTTGGTTGTCATCCTAGGGAAAAATATGGAAGAAAGTTAAGAGAGATCAAGTAGTTGAAGATCAGAGAGGATAGTAATAATATTTCCAGTTTAATAGTTTGAAATCTTAAAAGTAAAATTTTAGCCAACATCATCACGGTCACTACTACCACCCACACTGCTATACTACCATCATCGCCCCAGTCACTACCATCACCACCACCATCACCATTACTACCAACACCATCATCATCAACTACCACCATCAATATTATCATTCAAAATAATGAGAGTCAACTTTGGCTGAATTTTGTGTGATTAATATGTCATGCACTGCTCTAATAGATTTCTTTGGATTTCCTCATAGCTCAAAACAGCCCTAGATCCCCATTTCAGAGGTGAGGAAACTGAAACTTGCAGAGATAAGTAATGTACCTGAGGGTCACACAGGTAGGAAGGATAGCCTGAGATTCCAAGTTAGGCTACCTGACTTCACAATCCATATTTTAAGTGAGATCTAATGGCTACAATCTAACTAAAATGTTAAATTGAATCATTTATGTTTTCAACTACAGAGTTGAACACCCTTAAAAATGTTAACCAATGACACATTCTAGTGGTAAAACTATTACAACTATTTAACTAAGCTGAAAACACAATATGAGAGTCTCTTTAAATTATAGTCCATAAGACTGGTTACGTTTGGTGTCTATGCTTTCAGATTTGCTTATTTTGTGTATATACTTAAATGGGAACAGGATGTATTACACTTAACTAAAAACACCTTCTGTTATACAGCTTTAAAAAAATCATTTAACAATATATTTTAGATACCTTTTAATTTTTCTTAATGACTAAATTACATTTAAATCATAGAAATCCAAAATAACTTATTTGTAAAGCATACAGCACAGTTTCATTAATCCTATTTCTTTGATATATGCATTTCCTTCCATTGATGGTTGTTGTTCTGAGGTTTGGGAGGACATATGTTTGTATTCTCTGCGTGATTTTATGTATTGAATCATATTGTCTAAGTAATCTGAATGCTACATCCCCTGCAAATGTGGTTCCTTACAACCTGGAAGGGGAACTAGAAGGACAGACATACACTATAAGTCACTTCGATTATCAACTAGATAAACTCTAGATCTTTATATATATAATAGGGACAAAAAGCACTTGAAAGTGTGTAACTTTTCTATAGTGACAAACATCCTCCAATTTTGGTTTCCAGGCAATCCGTTTCCAATTTTTTTTTTTGTTTCCAGCAGAGCTTCCACCTAACCCACATATCCTTTAGTCCTAATTTAGACACAGGGCACCCTGAGATTTTCTTACCTAAGGATTTGAAGACATCGGGGCTGGCATACTTCCCATCAAAGTACACGGTGTTGTTCTGAGAGTCAAAGGCACGGCACATCCTGATGAACACCACTTCTAGAGAACCTAAGCAGAGGCAGGATGGGTTCAGGTCATCTGATCTAGAGGAGTCTGTTTCTAAGGTGCTAATGTAGAGATGCTTTCTGAGACAGAGACAGCACAGGGGGTGTTGTGTGCAGTGTAGCTCTTTGGCTCAGATACATCAGCTTGCTGTCTCTCTGAGACAGCAGAGCTTATTCCTACGCAAAGACTTTCTGCAGAAGCTGAGCTGTTTAACTGAAATGAGAACTAATTTACAAATGTCTTCCTTGGCACACTTCTACCTTGCGATACAGAGTCTCATAGTTGCTAGGAAAGCACTTATTCATATGTATCAAAACAAACCAGCAAAACCAGGGAGATTCTCTGAGTTCCACAAGCCCCTTCCTAAAAACATAGCCTTGGGACCTGGTAGGTACACAAAATGCAGGTGACGGAAAATGTGGGAATGCAGGCTTTCTTCAATTTCATCTTCTCACCCAGAGGAAAAACAAAATGGAAGGAATGTTTCCTGAACACAGCTCAAAAACCTTTAAAAAGAACTCAGTTTCTGCTAAGAAAAACCTGAGCTATTACCACTGGAGAAAAAGTGCTCTCGACACCTTCCTTACCAAGCATTTCTTTAACAAGCGGGTGAAAGCAGGTTAGGGAGAGACATCAAAATTCACTTGCAAAGCGCATACCTGCTTTTAGAAGCACAATTTGATCGTTTTGACACAGCTCCATAAATCCATCAATGCGTTTGGCAAACTCCACCACATACTGTATAGCTTCTGTGATTTTGATGGCACACAATTGCCACATCACCTCCCGCTGCTGTTCAAGAGGAAAACATTAACATACAGGTTACCCAGTCTCCTTGGCACAAGGGATTTGTTCCTATTTTATAAAATCCTTCTGTGGAAATGGAGTCAGAAAGGCTAGAGGATGGAACAATAAACAGTTGCCCAGTAATTCGGGTTGTAAGGATTGCTTCCATGTCCCTCCTGCCTCCTCTGATTCCTCTTACCTTTTTGGTGGCAATGGGATAAGGACAAGATGTTAATGAACGTTTGGAGCAGAAAAGCTGAAAAGAAGTCAGGGAAGTAACACATGCTACTGCTTTAGCCTTGGGTCACAGAATAGCAAAGTAGGATCTTCTTTTAGGCAATTGTTTTTCCTTGGGAAATTTAATAACACTTTTTTTTTATTGGTTGTTCAAAACATTACAAAGCTCTTGACATATCATATTTCATACATTAGATTCAAGTTGGTTATGAACTCCCAATTTTACCCCAAATACAGATTGCAGAATCACATCGGTTACACATCCACATTTTTACATAATGCCCTATTAGTAACTGTTGTATTCTGCTACCTTTCCTATCCTCTACTATCCCCCCTCCCCTCCCCTCCCATTTAATAACACTTTTTGGAGGGAAAGGAGGGAGAGGGGAGTAAAGAAAATTTGTTGTATACCCACTATAAGCTAGATGCTTTGTGACATCCATGTCTCAGCATTTTCATAAGAATTTTTTTCTTTTGTCCAGACATGACATGAAAGCTCACAGAGGTTTCAAAGTAGATGTGCGGGCTGGACCCAAATCTAAGCATCTCTGACTCTGAAATCCCGTTTCATATGTCTTGCTGTTTCTTACTTATTTCTAGCTTCTGCTCTGCAGCTTTGGCTATTGGGGTTACCTGCAACCTCAATAGCTAACAAAGCAACTCACTGCTACTCTCCAACCTGTCCTCTCAGTTTCCTTTTATATACTCACTCTCCAGTGCAGTTACAGGGAGACCTGGATCTGTGTCTTTGCTTACTTTTCCCCAATCTCTGTTAAGACTAGTGATAGGGTGTAAGAAACCTTAGATTCGGAGCCAGGAATCATGGTCTGGGCCTGATGTTTCCCTCTCTAGCCATACGCTGGCTGGCTGGAGGGGTGTTAGTTTCTCCATATGTTACATGAAAGGGAGGATTAACAGAGAGAATCCCCTTGGTCTTTTCTATGATTATCAGGAAAACCCAAGCATTGTCTTCTACCAAAGGTAAAATTATTTTAATCCCATCTCCAGCTTTCCCTCTCATTTTAGTGGCTTATTGATCAGAGAGTTGTATAGAAAAAAGCAAGTAGCAGGACTGTCAGACTTACCTAGCTAGGTTCAGACCAGAGTTATGATCACAGTTTCCAACCTCATGTTTGTACGTGTTGTCTAAAGTCCTTCTTAATAACCACTGGAAACATGAGGCTGAGATTTTTTTTTTTTTTTTGCAACAAATTCTGGACTTTATAAAATCTTCTACTGTGATACTAGGACAAATTCCAATTCATATAGGAATTTGGAAGCTGCTTGATCTAGTCCCCAGGTGACTAAGAGAAGGAGATGTGTGTGTACTTATAAAACACAATAGAATTTGTTTGTTTTTGCTGAAATTTTACATGCTGGCATCTCAGTAGGATGACAAAGCCTCAAGGACATGATCATCTCTGGAAGAATAATTTTTAATCAGAAATCTGCTATCTGATGAGACCATTCTTGGGTTCTGAATAAATAGCCTACCTAAACACCATTTCCACAATCCTAAGAAAGAGCCTTCAGATTCTACCTTGTTTTGATAGTTCTCAATCTCTTCCTGCAGAAAGGTCTGCCACGTTATCTGCTGGAGCTCTTCTCTCAAGTATTGGCAGGTTTCCAGATGTGATTTAGATATATTCTGTGCAAGGTGTTCTAAGGAGAAAACAGGAGATCACAAACATGAAAAGCCACATTCTTCTTTCTTAGGATAATAATTTTTCCACCTAACATTTGCTTTAAAAAGGAATAAGTATAATGCCAGCTATTGAGTTCTGATTATCTTTACATATTTAAACAAACGGTTTGGAACTATTCTGTATTTGAGAACCCGAGGATATAAGACAGGGACTTTACAAAGCCAATATTTCAAGATGAGACCATGATTTCAGAGGCCCTGCTGACTTTAACCTTGTTCTGTGCTTAACATCAATATCTGGTAATGAACAGATATTGACCTAGATAGGTATGGGGAATGATTGACATGGCTTCTTCTTGAAATTTTTTGAATATTCTAGGAAAAATTACTCTTTAAAAACCAGGAAATTATATTCTTTTATGATGACAATTATGCATTTCTTTTGCTTTTTCCTGAAAATAGCAGTTAAGAGAGAGACTGTGCACTTAGACTGTCTGGGTCTATATCTCAGCCCTGCTACTTATTTGCTCTGCCATCTTGAGTATGTTACTTTACCTCTCTGGGCTTTGGTTTCCTCAAACGAGGGGAACAATATCTATTTCACAGGGCCACTGTAAGAACTAAGTAAGGTGAGCACTTAGAACAGGGAGCATTGCTTAGCATGTGCTGCATAGTTATTATGCTTGAGAGTAAGGAGTTTGAAATCTTGAGGAAATGGATGCCAAAGAAGTTTTCCCTAGCAATTTATAATCTATGGTCATGCATGAAACATACTGAAAGGATAATTCAAGGCATTAGATAATAAAGTGTGAAAGTGAATTTCATCAGAAGATAAAGGAAAAGATAACAGGCACCATTAAGAAAGGGAGAGATCAATGCTGAAATGGAAGATGCTTCTTGGCATTGAAGACTAAAGGATGGGTAGTGTTTTCAGGGAGAGATCGGGGTATGAGAAGGTACACCAGCTCTGCATAGGAAGGGTGGTGGATGAAGGAACCGAATATGGCATTTATAGGGACAGGCAGATGTGATAAAGTAATTGTGTCAAGACAGAAATATAGGTAAGTAAGGGCCCAACACCTGGAGAATCTAGAATGTGAGGACTTAATCTGTTCCTAATGAAACAAAGGGAACTAGTAGGATTCTCCAGAGGGAGCTGACATATTTAAAATCGTACCTAAAGACAGAGGATAAGCAGTTTTATGCTTGATGGACTAAACAAGAGAGGTGGGGCAGGGGGACCAATCAGAAGGCTCCTGGAGTCTAGTTATGAGTGATTAAGAGCCTGGAGCAGGTTGAAAAAGGAGGGCAATTAAAAATGTTTTAAAAGAAGAATTGACAAGACTCTGTGACTATGAAACCATACCCAAAATTTACTCTCCTTCCAGGGTTTTGGATGTATAACAGGCAAGCCATCTAAAAGAATGGTGCTGAATGCAAACTTGGTAATGCTACTAGGAGTGTCTGTAAATTTGTTATTTCCGCCCTCAAACAGAATGAGACTTGTTTGTATGAAAATAGAGCAGGTTCACCTAAATGGAGTTTGAAACTAGAATCTCCTTGGAGACACAGAAACATAATAAATCTTAATGGCCCTATTTGGCAACACACAGACACTAAAACAGCATGAATAAATAGCATACCAAAATAAAACAGAAACACAAGAAAACATTTAAAGGAAAGAAAGAGACAGAATTTGAGAGAAAGAGGGAGAAGCCAGCAAATTGCATATCTTAGAATCAATGATGCTAGTGAGGAAGAGAGTACAGACAAAAATAATGGAAATTGGAAACCAAAAAATGAATGCAGAAATAACGTAGTGAACTGTGATCTATAGAGAGAGCTCTCATTATATGAGGTAGTTTCTAGAATGTAAGTTTACAATTTTCCTGTTTTGCAAATATGGAAACACTAAAGTAAAAAGTGTTCACAGGGAAGCTGGGGGCTCCTGCAGGTGACCCGTGGGAAGCAGTTCACAGTACTCTCTTGCAGGTTGTATCTCTTTTCCAGTTAATATGGTCAGTCAGCACCTTGTGTTTTCATTTCATCTTCAAACATGTTGCCAGGACTGGGGATAAAAGTCTATGGTACTGTGCTTTCCTGGCATGCACAAGGCCCTGGGTTTGATCCCCAGCACTGGCACCCCAAAGCTGCCACTTACTTCCACCTGAGTCAGGATTTTTAACAGCCAGTGAATAGGGCAATGTAGATGACATACCAGTAGAGGGCAGCAGCTGCATTCTCACCAACTGCTAACTGCTGTCTTTGATTTCAATTTATAATAGATTTGGCAACTCGAAGATTTTAGACATTTTGCTATTTTTAAATATCCATTTCAGCAAAGGAGAATATGTTCAGGCTGAATAAAAGTTAAGAAGTTAGTGTGGCTTCTCAGAGAAACCACGTGGAATAGTGAAATACCTCAGAAACAGGAGGTAGGAGGGCTGTTTTCTGGTCTGAGCTCAGCAGATATCTATCTCACTTTATGACAAGGGCAAGTCCGTTCCCCTCCTCAGCCATGACTGTTTCATCAGTACTGCCAGTGTCTAGACACTGCAGATGGAAGATCCTGGCTTCCAACTAACTCAGACTTTCATAGTGAGAAGGAACTACAGATACCACCTGGTCCAAACTCTGCTCATGTTATAGATAATGACATTAATGAGATGATAATAAATAACTCTTACATAGCATTTGCCATGTGCCAGATCCATATAATTTACTTCTGTCCTGAAAATATATATTTTTTCTCACTTAATCCTTATAATCCCAGGAAAAAGGTACTAGTACCGTCTCCATTTATTAGATGAGAAAATTGAGCCACAGTGAAGTCAAGTGACATCTTTCAAGGTGTCACAGATGGAAAATGGCAGAGCTATGTATTTAACATAGACAACCTGTCTTCAGAGTCTGTATTCAACCTTTATATTCTATAGGTAAGGAAACTGCAGCTTGCAGGTCACAAAACTTACAGTGGTTGGTACAACTTATAGCAAGGCTATGACCACAGCTCACACAAGCTGACTTGTCTCATTCTATGTCCAATATGTCACTCATCTTTTCTGCACAACATTAGTTAACAATTATAGTCAACAAGACACAATTAGTGCTTTAAAAAATATGGAATGTATAATTCAGGTACCAACTGCACATCAAGGGTAAAATTTCCTAATGAAATATGATTTCTATTTTAATGAAAGTAACAGGCAGTAAGTACTCTTATTGAAAGATAGAACTGTACTTAGGATATGTCAATTTACAATTTTCCTGTTGTGCAATTGGTTTCATTTGTTGAAAATATGATGCCAACGTTTGCTTATTTTGAAATCAAGAGTCTCAGTTAAAAAGGACAATAGGACTTAAGCCACAAAAGAAATATCAAGTGATTTTTATGTGGCTTTACAGTGGCAAAGTAAGTCCTAGGTCATTTTCATGCTACTTTTAGTTTCATGAACTACTCTGCATCTGTAAATGGGAAAGAAAATTAGAACCCAACTTTTGCCTTTTCAGAAAAATTCTAGTTTAGTTTTGAGTTTGGGTCTACTCATAGTTATGAGTTAATTCATCCTAGAATATGATATAACACATGGGGAAAAAATCGTGATTTCAAAAGAATATCAAGTACAAGGGAACAGAGCTCCCCAGATGCCCCAGGAGGCAACTGCTATAGAAGAAGAGGTTGGTTTGTTCAGTGACTTGGGACAATCAGCTCAGCCATTTCTGACCCCAGTCAGGTATTAGTGCACTTTTAGCCAAAGTGCCATGTTCAAGGGCATCACTTTGGCTAAGCTCTATGGATTTATTTCAGGATTGAAGATTTGACAAGCAAACAGGATAGATTCACTAGTATTTATGGTAAGGTGGAAGCAAACCTAAAATGAGTCAGGTCATTTTTCATGGGATCATGTCAGCTTTCAATCAAATCCCTATTCATTTCTGAAAATTTTACTTTCATTACAGTTCTGCTTAAGGCTCAGGCAACCAAGATTTCATGACAAAAATGGAAGGTTTTTGTTCTAGTTCAAGAAAAAAAAAATCAAACCTACCTCTGCTCAGCTTGGCTTCTAGTTCAGAGGTTTCTCTGTTAATCAAAAGAGCTGTGATACACCTTTAATGCTGTTCAGTGGTTAAAGACCAGGCTTAACATGTCCCTGCTCTTGAGGATTTAAATTTAGACCCATAAAGAGATGCTTGTTGTAAAAACCGTAAAGAACATTCAATTTGTTCTATTTGGAGAAAGATTTTACTGGAAATATAAATTTCACTTAAAAGATGTTTTATGGGGTAACAGAGGTGGAGCAACCCTCTAAAGAACACAGCCATTATTTCTGTGAACTGAGGATTTCTGTGCTCAAGTCAGAACCTGCTGGTTCTTTTCCATCTGAGGTCTTCATTCTCTCCTCGTATTAACTTAGTCATCTCCACAGCAACTAATTGAAATGTCCCAAAGGATTATAACCTTGTGTGAGGAATAACTAGGAGGAGAAGATCAAATTCTAAAACTGCAAAGGTTCTTGTCAAAGTTTTTCTAATAATAGTGCTGTATTTAAAAATCAATTAAATATAGCAGAGGATGTTAATATAACTTCCTTGAAATGGAAAGTTTTCCATTGTCTGTGTTATCAACATTTCTAGGTCACATCTCCCAAGAAGCAGTCATGTGCCAGCAATAAGGAAATGGGATTGAGGGGGTGGGGTATGGTGAGCCTTATATAAAATATAAATTTGGTCAACAATATCCATCCTCAGGTGAAGAAGCTAATTTATTTTTAATATTTATAGTATACATAAATGTGTATAGGGGACAGGACAAATGATACAAATGGAAGAAGTGGGGGTGGGCCTATCAGGAGGTGTCACCCCCTGACTGGTACCTTGGATGCTGACATTCACAAAGCCCGGTCCAGCGTAATTAGTTTTCCTCCCCTTATACAAATAGCTGAAAATCTAAAGTTTTCATAACTGTCCAAGTTTATTGGGATGGGGGTAGGGGAGACTGACCAAGTACAAACTTACAGTTATATAGGAGAAATAAGTTCTAGTGTTTTATGGCACAATAGGGTAACTGTGGTTAACTGTGTGGTAATGAATATTTAAAAAAAAACTAGTAGAGAGAATTTTAAAATTTTTCGCTACAAAGAAATTATAAATGTATGAGGGAATAGATTTGGTAAATACTCTTATTTAACTATTACACAATGTATCAAAGCATCACATTTTTCTCCATAATGCAAATTATTATGTGTCCATCAAAAACAAAATAAAACAAAAACAAGTTTAATTTTAGTAACCAAACACTTTAAAAAATTCTGTGCTGGCCAAAAAACATGTCTGTGGGCCAGGTTCAGTTTGTAAACTGCCATTTTTTGGTGACTTTAGGTACAAAGCAATATCTGGAATATGACTAAAGTAAAAAAAAATGTTGAAGTTAATATGACCATTCCCTATGCTTAATGTTTTCTGCAGAATTTTCCTTAATTTTGTCTCATTTCTGATGCTGAGAGGCTAAGCATTTATGGGAAATGATGGACAGTCAAAAGCAAGGGAGTGGGCTGGAATCTGAAGTAGCCTAGATGGTAACAGTGAACTGCATCATTTTAACAACATAACTCATCAGAGGAAAGTCAAACATACCCCTTTACTACCCAGGGCGTAAGCAGAGCATCCCAGCAGAAGCATGCAAGCCATTACCTAGTTCTGCCATGGACACCGTTGGGGAAGTCTCTCCATTGGTGAACGAACAGTAGGGAAAAAAGCCAGATGCTGGTGTGTAGTCACATATGGGTTCTGGTTTGATTCCATTGATATCAAGCCCTGACTGGTCTGGGGAGGGCTGTATGTCCAGGTAGAAGCTGCTGACAGCAGAGTCGGCCTTGCTGCCCTCGGGGGTGTGCCCATCGATGTAGGTACTGAGGTCCTCGTGAAGCTCTGTCAGCCCGTTGGCCGAGATGTTGTAGGTGGGTGTCAGCGGCTCAGCCTCTCCAGGCTGCTGCTGGTGGTCGCGCTGCTGCTGCTGCATCCGGTGTTTCTGCACTTCTGCATATAAGCTGTCTCTCTGCTTTTTCGACATTCGACCAAATTTTACAGCTGGAAGAAAATAGCCAAACGGTACCATGTAAATGTGCTTTTCTTCATTATCCTCTCCTGCAGTCTTTACGGTTTCCTTTGAAGTCTTAATCTCAATCAATAGCCACATGATCACAAAATAAGGACATCCGGAGGTAAAAACAGTCCCACCCCACACAGGCTGGCTCCATCTTTCCCTGGAAAATGCACACCCCAGAGAAACTGATGTTTCAGAAACAGACTCAGGATGGTAGGGGAATGCTTGGATAATCCTCCCTGTTTTTCTGCCATCACATATCCTTGGGCTCACTGGGCACCACTGAGATGTCACCTAAGGCACTTGTTCGCTTACCACTTATAAAACTAGCCTAGGCCTCTTCCTTCTCCCCAGCATTCAGACCAAGGAGCAGCAATGCAAAGACTCACAGAGCACACCAAGGTGAAGGCGACCTCAACTTTCATTCAGTTCTCAGTTTTGTACACTTGAATGAGGTTCTTCTTGGTTGGCTTTGAAGCTTTATGGAAAGGCCTGATCTAAGAAGCCCCCTCCTCCACTTGTGGGTCCTGGCAGCCCCTGTGAAATCCTTGGACCATTCTTTAAGTGACACTTTCTGTGGATTTCTTTTAGCCTTGAGTAGAATGGATATCAAGATTTTGAAAGGGCAAATACTATATAAGATCCCTGTTGGGTGGATTTGTGTTTGTGATGCTTCTCCTTGGGATGTGTCTCCATAATTTAAGTGAAGTGGTGACTGAGCAATTTTTCAGTTTATTCAGAATCTCAAATGATTTCTTCTGAAACACCCAGATAATTGAAAGAAGAAGAAGAAGAAAGAAGAAAGAAGAGAGGAGGAGGAGGAGGAGGAGGAGGAGGAGGAGGAGGAGGAGGAGGAGAAAAAAAAAACCTTATGATTTCCTGGTCTGAATTTCCCCACTAATTTGTTTTTCAGCTGGATTCTATATGTGAATAAAGCCTCTGCTGGAGGACTTGGTTCTCCTGATTGTTGGTTAATTTACTCCTGGTTGGAGGAGTAAAGTCACACGAGTTTGGGGCAGGAAGAGGGAGAGAGGGAAATAAAGTTGGAACCATGGCCACCAAACTGGCCAGGTGCTGGACTCTTCTATCAAGGAGGATGTACTGTCTTTCTGCACAGAGGAAAAAAGTGAACTAGAATAGTGGTCAGTTTTCAGTTTCCACAACTCAGATAACAAACTTAGATGGGGCCAGTTAGATGGTAAAGAGATTTTGGTGTGGGCTCTGAATTTCAGGCCCATAGTTTCATAATCCCCTAATTCCATCCATGCTATCTCTTCATATGTAAATTTTCCAAAAGGCATACTGTAGCTACTTAATTTTTTGCATTTAAGGATACTTTAGGACCTCCAACAGGATTCATGCCCATAGGTGAAACATACTCTGCGATTATGCTTTAACTTTTGCCTTAACATTAACAACAGTTATCTCCCAATAAGTGAAATACAAGGAACAGCTCTTGAAAAAATGCACACATAACATTGTAATTTTAACTTGCAGGTTCCTAAGAGATGTACCTATCTTTGTCAGTTTAGTGCCATTGGAAGAGGAACCCTGCAGAGTTGTGTGTCTCAGGAATTTCTGAGAAAATGGCATAAGTTCTGTGACTTGTATCTTCTGATGATAACAACTTTACTTTTGTAGGGGAATACGGGGGGCCTTGTAGGTGGATCATGCCTGGGTGGGTCTGGGACCCTATGAGCATGTGACTATGGAGAAGACAGGTGGCCCACAGGCTACCATTCCACTGGAGGAGACAGCTTCCTTCAATGGGATCTCTCAAGACAGCCAGCATGTTCAGAAAGTCCCTAAAATGGACCTGCTGTACTTTCTGCCCAGTTTCCATGTATAAGAATAACTGCCTAGAAATCTGGTGTTGATTATTCAGTGCACTTAAGATAGTTTTCCAGGAAGATCTCAAAATGTTCTATAATTGAATGGTAGATGGTCTCTTTTCCTTAAAATAACTTCTTTTAATGAAAAGAGCATTTGTCCTTTAGCCACACTTTGCACTATTTTCAAACATTCTGCATGTACAAATATTTGACCTGGGCATGTGATTCAAAAGATCCAGTTAGCATAAAACCTCCTTCATCCCAACTGCCAGCACACTTACTAGGGTAAGGCAGGTAACAATTAGTTCTGGCATGTGCTTCCTATGGGGGAAAATGTCCAGAGGAATTATATTCATTAAAGTCCTTTAGATGACACTTGCCTTCAATAAATCCATCTACCTGTAACTTCTGATGTTAGAAAACCTTATGGGACAATTCTCTATATTGCCCCCTACTCCCCATGGGCCAGGCAGCTGACTCTGGTAAATTATGGGGAGAAAAAACTGCTGTGGATTCCACAGCGCTGCCAGGGGTGCCTGGGATGGGCGAGGGTGGGGAGGGGGCATCTCCTGGCAGATCTGAGTCCATGTTTCACAACCCCATGCTACTGTACCACTCAAGCTGTGGGAGCTCACCGTCTCGAGACATCCCTACGGCAAGGCATTTCTGCAATCGACAGTGTTGGCAGCGGTTTCTACTGGTTCGATCAATCAAACAGTTCTTCTGACGAGGACAGGAGTAGGTGGCATTGCTTTGCTGACTTCTCCTGAAAAAGCCCTGTGATTCAGTTATAAAATATAAAACAGGTTAGTGTCAGTTTGAGTGGTATGATACTCAAGGCAGTATACTAAGCACTGAGCAGCATTAATATTTAATGGAGAATTAAACTTGTAGCAGAATCATCCAGGAGACCATTAATGAAATTAAAGTCACTTCTTTTTCCTTGGGTAAAATTGATCCCCAGAGCCTAATACTCCATCCCTTACACATGCAAAACTTTTTTAAACTTCAACCGACAGTTGTCTATGTAAAAGGCACAAGATAAGACTCCTGCTCTTGCCTTCTGATGATCAGAAGCAATGTGTTCGATGGACTGATACAAAGGAGTTTGTCTTTAACCTTTATCTTCAAAATATATTTTAATTTTTTTTCTTTTTGGTACTAGGGATTGAACCCAGGGTGCTTTACCAGTGAACTAAATTCCCAGACCTTTTTGGTTTTTATTTTGAAACAGGGTCTCACAAAATCGCTGAGGCTGGCCCCAAATCTGCCTTAATCTCTCTAGTTTCCGGGATTACAGGCATGTACCACCAAGCCAAGCTCCAGAATATTTTTAGCAAAATAAACACAAACTGGATGCCCAGATTTAAGGAAAATGCAGCCACACCATGACCTAGAGCACTGTGATCCTGATGCACCATGGTGGCCTCTTAGACATCTCTCACTCCCTGGGTCCTGGTGCAAGCAGTTAGATGACACTTGGATGGATTATTTTGGCAGATCAGCCAGATTTGTACTCTTTCTCAGTCCTTGACAGTTTGTAATACCAGTGTTCAGAGTCATGGCCTTTTAAGATTTAACAAATTCAGTCTGAGGTCCCTCAAGTTCCTCTTATGTGTCCAGTACTGTTTTGAAAATGAGAAGGTGCATGAAGGTGCACAAGGAGCTACTAGCCTCAGGAATTTAATTTTTGTTTGTTTATTAACTTTCTGAGCAGGATTCTTAGCTCATTGATTTTGGTGTTTATTCTTATAGCTGCAAATGTTCTTTTTAGTTATGTTTCAGCAGCAATCCACAAGTTTTACTATGCAGTATTTTCATTATTATCCACTTGAACATGTTCTAGATTTGTCATAAATTTCTTTAACCAAAATGCTATTTAGAAGTATATTTCTCAATTTCAAATATACAAGGAAGGGGCTTTGGTTATCTTTTAATTGTTGACTTATCTTTCAGAAGTTTTGCTAGCTAGACATGTCCTCAAAAGAAAAAATAGGATAAATAGAGTAATTTCTATGAAGCAGAGCCACGAAGGGTACAAAAGCATCTTAAAAGCTTTAATGGTGAAGATATGTGATCCCAGCAAAGGGGACGCTGGTGAAGAGGGGAAAGTGAAGTCCGGAAGAACTTGACAAGTAGTTGGGGTAAGGGTATTCTTCCACTGAAGGAATTTTCTAGAGGCCAACTTGTCAGTTACATCAAAATTGTTAGAAACATGCCCACTGAGCCATTAATTACATTTTTTTCTTTCTTTTTTTCTTTTTTATTTAAACAGTACTGGGGATTGAAATCAGGGGTGCTCTACCACTGAATTATACCCCAACCCTTTTTAGTTTTTATTTTGAGACAAGGTCTTGCTAAGTTGCGCAGGCCAGCCATAAATTTGTGATTCTCCTGTAGCAGCCTCCTGAGTAGCTGGGATTACAGGTGTTCACCACTGCACCTGTGCAGCTAGTAATTACCCTTTAAGAAATATACCTTAAGGGAATATTAAGAATGGCATAAAGATTCACCTATAAGAACATTTTTTTGCTGCACTATTTACAATATGAAAAAATTTAGAAAGATCCTAAATGTCAACACTAGTGACAATCATATTGTATACACATACAATGGAATTTAGCATCTGTTAATGGAATTTCAGAAATACAATTGTTATAAAAAGATGATAAAATATACTTCTGAATTTTAAAAGAAATAAACCCAGTATCATCAAATTTTTTGACTAAAAAGAAAAGGAACCTATATATTTAGAAGAAACTTTAGAAAAATTACGCCCTAAAATGAAAAAAAAAAATCATTAGCTGTGTCTGGTGGGGCCACAGGTGATTTTAAGTTTCTTTTCATCTGTGCTTTCTGATTTTTTTACACTGTACAAATGGAAAGATATGTGAACTACTTGGGAAGAACAATCGAGTTCATCTGCTTCCTTCTGTGATGACTGGGGTCTCTGAGGACCAAGTCAATGTGTACGATGCATGTGACCTCGGTTCCCTCTTGTTTACTTTTGCAAATCAACCTGGGAAGATGGTAGGAGGCAGATCCTCAGCTCTCACTCCTTCTTGCACCCTTCTAAGCTGCTAACCTAAACACAGGCAATCCTGGGGACCCAGATCTGCACTGTACTTGAAATCTACCCTATATCAAGTCTGATCTCTTCTGTAAAGCAATCTGTTCTCACGATATATAAAGCTGTGGTGTGTGTGTGTGTGTGTGTGTGTGTGTGTGTGTGTGTTGTACCCTGTGAAAAGAAAGTGAGAAGTAAAGCTTTCTTTGGACTTAATGAAGAGAAGTCAAGAAAATATAAGTGGTAACAGGGGCGGATAATCCTTAGAAAAAGACACCAAGAGGTCACTGGTCTAGGTGTTCATTTCAGTCTGAGACACATAATCTCTGTCAAAGCTGAAAGGTGTTTATCTCTTTCCTGAGACTCGGCTCCCACTCATACCCTGTGTGTTTGTTACCACTGCAGGTGCCTTGGCTCAGGAGGTTATTTGTTTTTCCTTTAGTTGGGGTTGAATTTTGCTGCCTTCATATTGAGCCCATTGTGGTTGGTTTTAAATAATTCTTGAATATGGATAACGTCTGCACACTCTGGTTTCCTTTAAATGGAACCAATGCTGAGGGCTGTCAAACTCTCTTGGGGAAGTGTCTCCTGTAGCCCCAATCACCACATCTGTCAATCTTCCTTTATAGGGTCTTTTCTACCTTTAGTGTTTCTTCTTGGGATCCTCTCTAGCTGTTTTACTTCTTTCAAAAGTCTGAAATCCAGACTACACACAGCTCTTCAGGGTCATTAATGAAAAGGATGCTGGCTTTTAGTTTCCACATATTAATTTGATACCACACTACGGTAAATAAGGTTCCTGAATATTAGCACAGAAGCCGTATATAGCCATCAGTCTTCTCTACCACAAAGGAATTAGAGGGCATGATGATAGATAGATAGATCAATCTTAATGATTGTATTAATCATATCTTTTAGTTCTGCACGTTAGATGCTTTGACATCTTGGGGCCTTGCTGAGGTACTACCCTTCCCAGGACCAGCTAATCCCTACAGAAAGCAAGCAACTTGCCTGCAGTGTACCTTTTGAATGCATACCAACCAGGTCAGAGCCAGGTCACAACCTCCTTGATTAGGTTTCAGACTCCCAGCCAATATTCCCCAGCCCTTACCACTCCTGGGTCAGCAAGAAGACCACCAGAAACAACCCTAGGCCCTGCACCCCATAACTATTTAGTAGAACAAACTAGCTAGTCATGGGTCTGCTCCCCCTGTGGTGCACTTCCTTCCCATGGAAACCACAATACAGCTCCTATGGCCCAGGAGCTCCTGTCTTCCCTTTACCTCCTGACTGACTGTGGTGCTTCCCTGTGTGGCCCCTGCATGGCCTGACATGGATCCCGTTCCCAGGGTTTGTGACTATAACAGACTTTATTCCTCATGATAGTCATTTGCAAGTCTATGTATCTTTTGACATCTGTTTAGAACAAGACCTAGGTACTGTTAAATAGCTCTTAAGATGTGCTAGGCACTCTGTGCTTTATGTGGATCATGACATTTAATTTCAACAAGGACAAGGCAGATACTTTCATTTCTGTTATTTCAGGGCTGAAGAAAGCCTTATGAGGGTGCAGAGACTTGCTCATAATATCCCCTCTAGCATAAGGTAAAGCCAGGGTAAAAATTTTCATAGGTTCTTCTAAAACTCATACTATTGTCCTTTTTTAATGTTTCCCCTGTTTGTCAAAGGAATTCCTCCTTCATTGTTTTCATAAAAGGCAATCATTTAATTACTGTAAAGATTAAAAAAAAAAAGCAACAAGGTATGCATAATCAAATAGCAAGGCTGATCCACTCTGATTTGGTGTGTTTTCCTATAGATGAGGCCCTTTAGTTAACCTAGGCTGCTAGGTTCACTACTGCACCTGTGCAGCTAGTAATTATTCTTTAAGAAATATACCTTAAAGAAATACTGCCTAGACATGTCACAAAATCCTCCTCTACAGCTGCAACAGATATGGGTTAGGAGTCACATGAAAAAAAATCACTCTTGTGATTCTATCATTTCCCCTCATTTCTGACCAGAAAATTTTGCCCCCTTTGATACACCACACCTCTATCTCGATCACGTTGGTTCATTTACAAACAAAATGACAATGAAACTTACAGCCAGGGCACACAGTCACTACCACAAATGCTGTCTGAGTCGTTATGCCTTAAACTTGAAGTGCATCCACAAGGCACTCCATGAATGCCTGGAGGAGTGGCCCTGTGTCTGGAACTAATGTGGCTTCTGAGCTGTCCACTCAGAAGAGGACCACACTACTGAGATGTGTAAGTTTGGAAGGGTTTGGGGAAAGCAAGCAACGGGACATATCTTGCTCTTGGTATCATCATTTGGTCCTCAATTGAGCCCACTAGGGAAAGTCTTGCTAAGAAGTTCTGGGAGTGGCACAGCTAAAAACCAGAGAAGAGAGCTATCTTTTGCACTAAGTCAACAGAGTCACACCCACAAGGAGAACTAGAGAATACCAGATAGGAGGGGTCAAGCAGGGTTATAAAGTGAGACCTGAGAAGGGAGAGAGTGGGTAAGCCTCTGTGACTCAGAAGAACACTGAACTTTGCATTTCAGAAAGAATAAGGGTTTGGCTTTCTTCTACTTTAAACTTCTTTTCAGCAGTCCTTGGGGGTTTCTCAGAGGTTTAAGTGTTTGGGAAGCTAACCTGATAAAATATTAAAAGCTAAAGAAGACATAAGAGAGAGAGCGATTA